AAAGAAAGAAAGAAAGAAAACTTCTAACAAACTAGTGAAGAATTAGCAGCCTGAATACAGAGCAAGTTTACACAGGACTGATCGATACCGAGCCTGATAGGTCCATGTGCACAGGATGATAAAGGACAAAACCCCAAAGAAGTGTAAGTCATTGACACACAATCACCAAGGACATGGCTCCCTTTGTCCATGAAATTGCAAAAGGTAAAAGGTACTACAAATAAAAACTAAGTTAGAAACGAAGCAACTGCCAGATTCTCTCTGACACCAGCATGGGCCCTCACAAGGCACGGTGAGGAGCTGCCATGGAGTCTGCAGAGCGGGCTGGTGGGGTAGCATTTTCTCTCCCCTTTTGGAAACCAAGGCAGTGATGAGTGTCAGCAGTCCACAGCATGTCTTCCTCATTGGCTTGGCATTGATTCTGGGACTTTGTCTTGGGTGCTGGGACCGCTCAGTTCAAACCATAGTTAATGCAAAGACAGCCGTCATCAGAGCGCCCCCAAAGGCCAAGTCATTGGAAATAACCAATAGTAAGGAGCAGGCCGAGTTCCGTCCACACCGTGGGCTGTTGTCACCTATGAATGGGGTTTGCTGAGACGGAAGATTCTGAAAAGTCATATGCTGAGTTACAACAGGGTGTCATGTGTGAGTGTGCGTACATGCTTGTGTTATGCGCCGAGCAAGTACAAGTGTGTATATAAGTGCGTGTGAGTGTGTATGTGGGACGTGTGTGTATGTGTGTGTGTGTGTGTGTGTGTGTGTGTGTGTGTGTGTGCATACTAGGTAGGTGTGCTACCATGGAGCCACAGCCTGGAGTCTGCTTTGGAAAGACCAGAAGGAAGCCTGTGACTCTGCAGCCCGCGCTCTGTGCTCTTTGCTCTGCGTTTTGGTTCATACCCCCTTTCTGCAGGGCTGGCAGACCGAATGGGCAGAAAGACAGAAGGTGTGGGGTAGGGGTGGGGGGTGTACCTGCTGGGTTTAGTGCTTTGCTGCTTGGGTCTCCAGTTCTGTGCATCTCCTGACTGCAGTGGTGGATGGGAGGGGCTGCAG